ATATGAGTTTGTATGTAATGTATGAATATAATGTACAAGTTTCACTTTTTAAATGGAATTACTGAAATAAATCTACTTTTTCATGATATTCTAATTTTATGACCAGCACCTGTATATATATATATATTTAACCAAGATCACAGAGAGTGTCTGGAGCTGCTGCTGTCCTTTGGCGCTGCCGTTGACGTGGAGCTGCCAGATGTGGGGACCCCTCTGTACGTGGCCTGCAGGGCCCGAGCTGCAGCATGTGTAGAGCTGCTGCTACGCTCAGGTAAGAGTGGAAATATCAGGAACATTACAAAGAAATRTATACAGTACATGTTCACCTTACACTCATGCACAGCAAGGTGAGAACTCAAGATGAATGAGCAAAAGAGTATGAATGTTTTTTTTAATAAACTCTACAGGGAAGTTCTGACARTACAGTGGTGCAGATTCTCAGTTATTCAGAACATGAGTGGGTAAATAGAGACAAGTGAATTCTCTTGATWCTTGAAGATGTTTCTCCTTTCATCCAAAAGGTTTATTCATTTCTTATTCTGGGTTGGGAGACTTATAAGTTGTWACAACAATCCCAATTATAGATCCTTTAGGTCACAAGTCACTAACCCACCCCTCCATCATGTGTCATTTGGTCATTTTTTACTTGCTGAATGCTGGTTGTGAAACTGCCTGAAAAGCCCTCAGTGTAATGTTGGTTTTCATGGTGTTCTTTGTCTACAATGTGCACATTGCTGTCTTATAAAGAGTATACCTTGTCCTTGAGATGATGATGAACTGATGAGTCTTGATCTGTGTTGAAAAAAATATTTAACAAAAACAGAAATGCATGATCCAACGAATAAGGCCCTTCGTAGAATGGTTGTCTGAGTTTGTTTATTGCAACTGCAAGACACAAAAGTGTAACACAGAGCTGTGCAGCCCTGTTTWAAAAAGAAGAAAAACCTCCAACACCAATGTTCCTAAATTACGTCTGTCAGTTGGATCTTTGGTCAATGAGATGTATGGGTGTGCATCAGGGATTGTGAAAATACTCGGCCTGTGCCAGATACAGCTTAACTGACAGTGCAGAGAACTCTTAAACAAAAACTCTGTGTCAAGAAAATTATCAGGCTTTTCAAAGAAAGCAACCCATATGAATCATGTGTGTGTAATCGATGAGTGATGAGCACATCGTCATGAGTGATGATCGATGTGCAGTGCAGGTGGCATGGTTGCATAATCACAACATCAGGGCCCACTAGCTCCCCAGTTTTTATATCTGATAAGCAGCTGGATTGAGTGGGACAAGCCATTGATACACGATAGGGATCTACATGAAAAATTTTCTATTTTCTTTTTAATCCCACTTTGTCAAGTTGAGTTAAACTAAAAGATCTATTTTCCGGAAACCCAAAACAGTCCGACCATTCATGGAGGTACTCAACGGATTCTTATCTGTTCAAAAAGTCCCCTTTGGTTCCGAACAGACTTTACTCTGACCCTTTCTCACCCTGCATCTTGCAGATGAAACAGCTTCTCTAAAACTGTTGGGACGGCATTCCACTTGCTAAAACAGCTCCTAAGTGTCCCAGACACCTAACTCGGAGCCCCCGTGCACAGGACTCCCACCTCGGAGTTGAGGCCAACAACCCATGGCACAACCATTGGTTTAGTAGTGGTCATCACCAGTTAAGTATGTATCAGGCAAAAGGACCACTACTAAACCAATGGTTGTGCCATGGGAGCCCCAGTTTCACCAACTGTGGCTAAATACTACATGAAGGAAGTGGAAAAGAGGGTCTTAAATGGATCACTTGGGTTGTTACCGACATCTGGTGAAAATTTCATGTCGTTAGCACCTCTAGTAATATATTTACTGAGAAAAATG